AGAGACTCTTAAGAAGCAGACATTCCAACATTTCTCCAATGAAAACAGGGATGTCCCATTTAACAACAGCAACAATCATTTTATTATTTATGCCCCGCCCATCTATGTTCATAGAACCCAGTTCGTGTACATGCCATCAACATGCACGAAGGGTTCAGCGCACACTTTACTCTAGTGTATGCATTTTTGTGCACATTGCTTGGCTGAACTGCACTGCAGAATTCGGAAAAGTACAAAATTCAAAGGACGACTGTGTTCCAGTTTTCACATTGCTTTGGAAAGGGTGAAAAAGGTGTAGCAGTGCTCAGCCAGGACTAAACAAGCTGCTTATCATCTCGGATGTTCCATCAGAATTGCAGAAAGTGGAGGCTCAAATCACCTGCAGTTCAATTCTATGTAATCCTGCTAAAGTAACTTCTACTGCTTACTCTCAGGTAAGTTTATAAGAATGCAGCCTTGAACAAGTGCCATTCCCACTTTCCATAATACCTGATGGCATCTTGAGAACAACAAAAAAGGAGCAAAAAAATACATCCAAGTAACTTTGCACTTAGATATCCTGTACCAGCTCCCCACAAACAGTTTGTTTAAACTGTAGAGTCTGCAGACTTGAGCACATGCTTTTTTTGAGTTCTTTTCCCGCAAATACAAAGGTTATTATAATATAAATTAGAAACGGTTATATATATATATAAAATGAAAATAATTTAGGCAGGTTTCCTGCGACATCTCTTTCGCTATCACAAGTGCTTGTAAATCTCCTGTTTGCTCATATTATTGCAGTGTACCATTTCATTATGAGGAAGTACCTACATAGCGAGATTCTTCCCAGTGTGACAGACGCTACATTTTCTCACCAAACTTCCTTCTGCCTCCAACAGATAAGGTAGCACACAGCACACAACACATTAATCTCCCTCACAGTACATTGCAAAACTTAATTACAAGCTCTGTGGTACCATCAAAGAGTGTGAATAGGGGCATGTGCTCATAGGCTAAGTGCTATATGTTTATGGGGCATATCCAAACCCATAATTAAGATGTCATCCAAATTGTCACTCCAGTTTCCTTTTCTACGCTACCACATAGTAAAGTTGCCCCTTGGATATTGCCTTGGAGAAATCCAGTCTCCCAGATATATTTGATAAACGCTTGGACCCGAACCTATTTAAAACAGATGTTGATAGATGGCAACTGGAATGGGGTGAATGACATTGGCTTTCTTTTCTTTTCTTTTCTTTTCTTTTCTTTTCTTTTCTTTTCTTTTCTTTTCTTTTCTTTTCCTTTCCTTTCCTTTCCTTTCCTTTCTTTTCTTTATTTAAGGTTTAACGAAAATTCTGTCTGAAACTGATTTATCTGCAATTATTTTCCATTCAGAAGATGACAAGGTGGGAGAGATCTGAGATTTATCATGCATCGTAGAGATGGGAGGAAATCAAACAGAGCAGAGGAGAATTAGACATGCTAAATCAAGTGTGGTTCAGTACATAGTCATGAGCCACCACTCCAGCTTAGATGACTTCAGTGGGGAAGTAGAGAGATAACCCTCGTGGCTAACCATGATGGCTAAATACAACCTTCAGGTTGAGAGGCTGTGCCAGTTACTAGGGAACAAACAATGGGGCAGGTCTATTGTTTAGGCATCCTGCTTGAGGCTTCTAAGTTATAATAATAATTTAATTTAATTGCATTAGCATACAGCCATAGCAAAATAAGACAGTACAAAAAATGTTGGGGACAAGCAACCAAGCAAAATTCAAAGCGATATTGCTGGCGTAATGACATTTAAAACACCCTAAGACAATAATACAGAGATTTGGTTGCCAGCGCAAAAAAAACTAGTATGCGGATATAAATAAAGCATAAAATGGCCCCAAAATAGGCTCAGCACATTGAGAAAACATCTGGCTGGCCACCATGGAAAAGAAGATGCTTCGTGGACTTCATGGACCTTTGCTCTGATCCAGCAATGGTCCTCTTACATTCCAAGAACCTAAGAAGTTGACTTATAGTGAGTCAGAAGATTGGTCCATCTTGCCTATGATTCCAAGCATTACGTGGAAATACCAAGAACTGAATCTGAGACCTTCTGTATGCAGTGCAAATGGTCTACCATTGAGCCACAACTCTTCCATTTGTTTGTGCTGAATGTAGATATGCAGAAATTAAAGCCTTCTTTGATGCTATTTTAGACGCCACTTTGTAGCATCCCCAGCTTTTCTTGGCATCAGAATTCTTAGCTTCCCTTCTGTTCTTCACTCCTGAATGACACTTTCTAAGAAATGAAGGGCATAAGAAGAATCATGCTAGAACACACAAAAATGTCTACCATTCTGTCCAGCATTCTTTTTCCATAGTGGCCAGCCAGAAGGCTCTGGGCAGCCCACAAGCAGAGCAAGACCACAAGTGGAGCTGTGGATGAAGAGATCTGACTTAGCTATATGTCTCATTGATTTCAGAGATGAGCACACACAAAACTGTGCCAGGATTTTATAATAATAATAATAATAAGACCACAAAAAAACCCCACACAAAAAACCACCAATCCATAGAGAATTTGCAAACAGTTTCTATTACTTGGATCAGAAAGAAGAATAACATACTGGACATTTTTCCAGAACACAACATTTCTCTGTGGTAGATTATGTAGAATTAATTATTTCGCAGCTATGTGGTTTTTAATTAAGGAGAAAAAAAGGAGACAGAAGGGAGGGGAGAACAGAGAACCTTTTCAGATAGCAGCTACCCTCTCCTTAAGCAGATATTCCTGAACAAGCCTGATATCAGTAGTACCCAGCTCTGCTAAAAAGGAGGAGATTGTTTCTGTTTTAATCCCATTTGCCGTAGAATTTCTTTATTGCTTGTTCAAACAAGCTAAGCTAAAGGTGTGATTGGACTTCATCTTTATTGGGCTGTCTGTCTGCTCCAAGTTCCAAACCATTGAGTTTGTCACCTAGTGAATTGCATTGGGACTTTGAACCACCCAGAGGCCTGCAATGTCAGTGCTCTTTAATCTTTTGCATGTGTAACAAGGAATTTAAAAAGAGCTGAATAAAGATTGTCCTGAGGCTACGATGTGTGTGCTTGTGTGGTGTGTACTCACACAAACACTCTTACACAAACGATCTCTCGCCTTTGTTTGTGAAATTATTGCTCTTTCCATATTCTACCAAATAAAATGGTCTATTTAATTCTTTTTTAAAAAATTTTATTGATTTTAACATATAAATTATAAAATGTACCACAAAACTTATCACTTATACAATCTTTTTAGACTTCCATCAGCACCTCTGATGCTCCACCGTTTTAACCACTTCTTATGCATTTCTTAGCTTTATATTGCCTTTACCTCTCTTAACAAATCATCCTTCCCCTTCTCCAATTTTGCAATACTTCCAATAATACTCCTCACAAAACTTCTTGCAAACCTACAAACGTCGTCTGATCTTCACAAATACTTTTCAAGTAGTCCATAAATTTACTCCATTCTTCCGTGAATTTCTGGTCCTGTCAGTTTCAAATCCTTCCTGTTAGTTTATCTAGTTCTGCATAGTCCGAAATTGTCTATTTAATTCAACCATGCAGATTATAAACTCTTACATTTGTTCACACAAATCCACAATTCATTCATTTAGCAGTTCCTATTAGTACCAACAAAACATTTGTAAACACCCCAGTACAGTGTAGGGAAATATAAAGTTAGCAAGGTTGACCCGTGTTCATTGCAACTATTCTGCCACAGTTCCACTTCCACTGAAAACTACATTACTTCACAGCCTGATGAGGCCAAATTTAAAATAATTACTAATGTTATTAGTGTGTGTTTCCACACAATTCATTTTAATGCAGAGGAAATGTTACGGGGGAAATGGGGGAGGGGAAATATCACCAACTACGTATCATTTGAGGGCTGAAATCAACATCAGTGAATACTGGTTGCGTTTGCTTGCCAGATTTCCATTCCTGACCACAGATGAACATGCGAACTGATTAAATTTCTGCTTCTGTGTCTGCTCGGTGTGGAGATTTCCATCATCTGTAGCAAAGAGATAAATATGCCCTCTGCCTGCTCCTCAGAGCCAGCTCATCACATGGGGCTGGGCCTCAGCAGTGGCTGGCAGTGGCGGCCATGGAGAGACTATGGAGAGACAACAGCCGCAAACGCCACTCAGAACAAACACCAGTTCATCCTCTTCCCTGAGCTTGGCAACAGCAGCAGCACTGGTGAGGGACATAGGGACATTCTGGGATCAAATCAGAAGCCGAGATGGCTTTCATAATTCCAGGACTATCTCTTGAAGGTACGTTAGAAGCAATATGTATCTGAATGCCAGTTCCTGGGAGTCACAATTAGGAAGAATGCTATGGCACTCATGTCCTTCTTTAAAACTTCCCATAGGTATCTGGTTGTGCCACTGTAAGAACAGGCTGCTGGACTGGGTGAGACACTGGCTCAATCCAGCAGGCTCTTCTTATTTCCTAAGGTTCCTAATTCTGATTCTAATGAAATTGGTAGCAAAAATCCACATGGGGTTGCTGAATCAGTCCCAACTACAGGGAAGCAAAACGCGACCTTCCTTTCCTATACACAAATAAAGTGAGACCACAAGGTAGGGAAATCACCAGGCACAGTAATGAGGAAATCCACACTGGTACTCTGCCTATTATCGCCTGCCTGATGTAAAGCAATGTTTCCCAAACTTGCTTTTGGACTACAACTCCCATAATCCCTAGCTAGCAAGACCAGTGGTCAGGGATGATGGGAACTGTAGTCCAAAAGCAGCTGGAGACTCAAGTTTGGGAAACACTGATGTAAAGTGTACTAAGGGGGCACTCTCTGGCTCCAACCCCATCACCAATGGTTAGCACCAACATATAGTACCCAGGATATCTCTATTCCCAACATCTCCTCAAGTCAGACCATTGATCCTTCTAGCCCAGTATTGTTTACAGTGACTGGCAGGGGTTATTTAGAGTTTCAGGATTTTCTCAAACTCATCTGACTTCACTGGGGGTTGAACCTGGACCTTCTGAATATGAAGCAGATGCTCCAACCATTGAGCTATGCCCCTTCGCTAAAGTGGTGGATACAAATTGACCTACAGTGGTACCTTGGATTTCAAACAGCTTAGTTCACGAACAACTTGGAACCCAAATGCTGCAAAACCGGAAGTAGGGGTTCCGGTTTTCGAACTTTTTTTGGAAGTCAGACGTGCTCCGTTTTGAGTCCCCCTGTGTTTCCTGTTCCACTGCTATTTTGCATCCCCGTGTTTCCTGTTGTGCTGCTAATTTGCGTCATCCTGTGTTTCCTGTTGTGCTGCTTATTTGTGCCCCCACCTTGTAATTCAAGTTGTCCGTTTCCAATTGCAGTGTTCTAAGGTGATATTTGAAGCTTATATATGGTGCTTTTGTTTTTGCTATTAATTTTAATTTTTATCATCTACAATACTGTTTTATTGATTTTATAGTACAGTGCATTGATTATTGCTTTCATTTTATGGATCAGTGGTCTTGTTAGATAGCAAAATTCATGTTAAATTGCTGTTTTAGGGGTTGTTTTAAAAAGTCTGGAATGGATTAATCTGTTTTGCATTACTTTCTATGGGAAAGCATGCCTTGGTTTTGGAACGCTTTGGTTTTGGAACAGACTTCTGGAACCGATTTAGTTTGAGAACTGAGGTACCACTGTATTTACATAAACTGGAGCTGGCAGTGGGAGATGAAAAGAAGGAAACCCATGCCATACCATCATCTCCCCCCAAAAGTAATAGAATTATAGAACTGTAGAGTTGGAAGGGACCCTGAGGATCATGTTGTCCAACCCCCTGCAATGCAGAAATATGCAGTTTTCTCATATGGGGATTGAACCTCCAAACTTGGCGTTAACAGCACCATACTCTAATCAACTGAGCTATCCAGGTACTTGATAAGTTTGAAGGGAGCAATGTTGGAATGCATTTTCCCTCTGTCCTCCTAAAACCATGCCAGATAACCATGAGAAGAAGCAATGTGCCTTGGACACATTGCCTCCTACCCCCAAGTCATCCCTCCACCATCTATCACTTTGACAGGCTGTGAATTTGACAGCTCATTCATTTCATAATCTTTCGAGATTTCAGCAAAAAAAATCTGTACTGGAAACTATTTCACTTCCAGACAATCGTTTTTAAATGACTACGTAAAGATATGCCAATGCAATTCCCAATAAAAGTTTGCTTGACCTTTAGTAAGAGACCATTGCTGCATGGTAAGCAATTTTCCCTGCTCCCCTGGGTAGCAGCTAAAGACATGTTCCACTGAGGTTCAAGAGTCCATGACTGAAAAGATAAAAGGGATGGCTGGAAGATGAGCAATGAGCACAGCTTGGTGATGAAGTTGAAGGAAGAGCTAGTAATGACATTACTAATTACTTTGCAGACAGAATTTCAAATGAGGGTCCATTTGTCATCATGACATCATCAATCAGGTCTCTATTAGCCTTAGGCAGTCGTGTTTCTCTTGCTCATTTTTGCTCACTCGGTGGTTTTTAGACTGAGGTGTTTTGTTTTGTTGTACTTCATTTAGTAGTTGTGGATAGTATTTTCCCTTTAAAGAAGAAGATGAAATAGTATGAAGGACATGAAGCCATACTGTAGCTATGGGAAACCTTCATGACATCCCACTAACTCATCTGACCAGGTAAATGGAAAGCTGCTTTCTTCTTTATTGGTAGGCTAACAGGTAAATACATCCAATTGGATTGTTCTTGTTCTTGTGGTCCTCATGGCAGGTGGCACCCAAGCAGCTCCTCCTTGTTATTGCATGGGACAAAATCATATCCTCCCAAACATCTCCTGGAACTGGTTGAGAGGCCTTGTCTCTCCAGGACTTACTCAACCAGGCTCCACTATTGACTAGGTCTCTTCTCACCTATCCAACACAACAAGCTGTCTTGAGGTTCATTTTTAGGTAGATCCTAAGCTGCTATGTTGCTTCTGGTCTATTCCCATCACACACATTCTTCCAATGTCCAAGTCAGCTGGCTACCCAATGTTATCCTTTGATTGTGACATGTCCAATCCATCCCAGTCTGCAGCCAATCAGGGTGAGCTCTTCCACAGCACAGGTTCAGGGTGCACAAAGGTAATCTGCTGGCTCCCAGCCAGAGATCCTTATGTAGTAGCAGAGAGGAGCAACCAGCCAGGAGGCGTGGTACTAGTGCACCTGGCTTCCTGGAAGCAGTGTTCATATGCCCCCAAAGGCTTAAGCCACCCCCATCATGCAGGTCGGACACTGAGGTCCAGCACTGAGGGCCTTCTGGCCTTCCCTCACTGTGAGAAGTGAACCTACAGGGAACCAGGTAGAGGGCCTTCTCAGTAGTGGCACCTGCCCTGTGGAATGCCATCCCATCAGACATCAAGGAAATAAACAACTATCTGACTTTTAAAAGACATCTGAAGACAGCCCCGTTTAGGGAAATTTTTAATGTTTGATGTTTTATCACATTAGTATTAGTATTCTGCTGGGAGCCACCCAGAGTGGCTGGTGAAACCCAGCCAGATGGCCAGGGTATAACTAATAATTGTTGTTGTTGTTGTTCTGTTACTTAAAAGAAGTGCCCTTTTCATGCATTATTGAAAGAATAACTTTAGTTGGAGTGAACAAAATGCAGTTTGCAACAATTCCCTTAACAACACAATGCTATGTCCCTTTAAAAAGGAATTTGCTCAGGTTGCAAAACATCCTCTGCTAAAAACCTTTACGAGAATGCAGGTGCTCCACCCTATTGGGCTGATAATTGTATCCTGAATTACAGGAAGGTCATTAATTTCACAGGAGCTTTTGAAGTATGTGCGCAGCTTGTCAGAAGATCTCCATGGGACCAGATTTCACACACGTTGCCTGTGTTGCTTCACACGAGGTGATATCTTTCGTTTCCCTCTCTGTTTCCAGATGTCGACTGGATCAAAAGAGGAAAAGCTTAAATAAATAAATAAGTCTAAAATGAAAACACACAATTACTAGGAAAGCAAGTCCCATGATGCATGTACTTGTATTATGTGGCTTTTCAAGTTGCATTCCATAAAGTTTTCTGGGCTTATGAGGTCTGCTGAGACAAGCTAGTTCTGATTGATTTTCTCCCCCTTTCCTATTGCAATTTGAATATCACTCATCCGGATTTCTAGTGGTGTTTTCGTTCAGTGTTAGCAAGGGTATGCTATTTTAATAGACTGTACTTTTCAAAATATAAGGAAGTTGGCAACCCCAGTATCCCCAAAATCTTGTCATCCTTAGACATTTGCATAAAAGCTCAATAGGAATTGAGGTAGGAATCTCTTAATATATAATGTGTTTGAAAATCTAGATTCAGTTCTTTTTCCTATGCATCTCTTTTCCAGTTTAGTAATGGCTTAGAAAGGGTGCCAATGTAGAAATCTGGATGAGAAGACTCTTCCAACACTATGGTTCTGTGAACCAGTTCAACCATATATACTGCTGTTAACTGAATGTGTGCATTATATACTCTGAAAAGTACAGTGTTTGAGTTGGCCACAGCTGATACAAAAGCTATGCACGTGTGATATCCTGAGATTTTATTTACACGTGCAAATCTTCATTAATGGGCAGTACAGTCAAACACTGAATAAAGGTAAAAAGGTAAAGGACCCCTGGGTCGTTAAATCCAGTCAAAGGCGACTATGGGGTTGTGGCGCTCATCTTGCTTTCAGACTGAGGGAACTGGTGTTTGTCCACAGACAGCTTTCTGGGTCATGTGGCCAGCATGACTAATCCACTTCTGGCGCAACGGAACACCCTGATGGAAACCAGAGCTCAAGGAAATGCCATTTACCTTCCCGCCGCAGCGGTACCTATTTATCTACTTGCTCTGGCATGCTTTTGAACTGCTAGGTTGGCAGGAGCTGGGACACAGCAATGGGAGTTCACCCCGTGGCAGGAATTCAAACTGCTGACCTTCCGATGGGCAAGCCCAAGAGGCTCGGTGGTTTAGACCACAGCACAACCCACATCCCCTGTGTTTGTCTGTGGACAAACGCCGGCTCCCTCAGCCTGAAAGCAAGATGAGCGCTGCAACCCCATAGTCGCCTTTGACTGGACTTAACCGTCCAGGGGTCCTTTACCCTTTTTACCTCAAACACTGAGTACCAGTCTTATGACACCATGTCATTAATGTTGGGTAGACAGGGTATCATACTTATGAGCCAATGAATAGGTACAGGAATGGCCTGGAGTATTTTGAGAAGGAGCTAACTTGGTTTTACACAATTAGATTAGGGAAAGAGTAAATGGACTTTATCTAAAGAACATTTGAAAAGCAAAATAATTTGAGCGCCTTTAATTTTGCAAATACACATCATAAACCAAGCTAATAGACAAACTGACACTTCGGTTCAATAAACTGACTAATTATTACTGCAATAATACCTTTGAAGTTGACTCAAAAACTGCAACTAATCCAGAATGAGGCAGCTAGACTGGTGACTGAGAGTGGCTGCTGGGACCTCATAACACTGGTCCTAAAAAATCTACATTGGCTCCCAGTACATTTCTGAACATCTCCACCCCTACTGTCCAGCCCGGACACTGAGGTTCAGCACCGAGGGCCTTCTGGCAGTTCCCTCACTGCAAGAAGTAAAGTTACAGGGAACCAGGCAGAGGGCCTTCTCAGCAGTGGTGCCCTCCCTGTGGAACACCCTCCAAGCAGATATCAAGGAGATAAAGGACTGCACAACTTTTAGAAGAGGGCAGCCCTTTATCAGGATGTTTTTAATATCTGATGTTTTATTATGTTTTTGTGTGTGTTGGAAGCTAGCCAGAGTCTCTGGGTAACCCAACCAGATTTGAGTGGAGTGTAAATTATATTATTATTATTATTATTATTATTATTATTATTATTATTAGGAGTGGGCTTCCTCTTGCTAGATGCCTTCAAGCAGCAATAGACAATACAGTTGGCTGGCACTACTCACCTAACCTCCCAACAGCTATCAGGAGCACAGTTGTAAAGTGTGAAGTTGGTGCAGTGCAAACGCACTGGCAGAAATGCTGTATTGCCTCCACTGGTAAATTTGCAGTCTGCCTGTTGCACATCCACTTTTGAAAGGCTCTGAATGCTGAAGTCATTAAAGTCATGAGTGAAGCTAACCTATGCAACCCAGTCCCTTGTGTGCTCTTTCAGTGCATGGGGTGATTATCTGAAACCCCCTTTAATAGATGGTCACAGAGTCCACCTTTTAGCTGGAATTGGCTAAGGCAGGATACTGCAATTGTTTGATGTAGGAATTGTAGATTCTATGCTATTTCACATATTAAATTGTCACATGTTCAGTCTAAGAAATTGTGAATTATTCTTTCCAAAGTCATATATGATATGCAATGCAATAAACAGGAGGGCGGAGAATGGAAATCCTTAAATTGAAGATCTTTAACCTTATTAAGATATTAGCCTCAACACTAGTGGGAGATTTCTGCTGGGATTTGTACTGAGAACACATTTTAGCCCCAGAGACCTATAATATTGTCAGATCTTCAAAAACAGCTTTGAGAGCTTTCAATCCAGGCTTAATTAAAATATAGCATGATGTCATTTGACTGCCATTAATTCAGCATCAGTAGGCCCTACTATGCTGTCATTAACTTAGGTAAATGGGTTTATTTTACATAATGGGTTGTAGTGATAGCATGGGTCATAAAGAGTGTATTCCACTCTGTGTGCAAAGTCTAAATGGTTTTAGCTGCATATGCAAGTCACACAACAGACACTCACATTACTCTGGGATGCTCTTTTGGGTAGATCCAGCAGCATATCTTATAACGCATCCTTCTTCTGAGGAATAGCACATTAAACAAAGACATTAAAAATGTGTTACCAAATTGCTTTCTCTTGCCTTCCTGCTAGATTTATTATTATTAAAGTTAT